TAATTTGTTATAATTCAAACATATTTTAAAGTATTTTTTAGTTTAGCATTTTTTAGGTTAAGGATTTAGGTATGGTGTCTTGAGTTAGTATGATGTACTGTAGTAGTGCATGAAGTTGCTGCATCAGGAGTCCTGTCAATGACCTTGGTCCAGTCCAATCATTTTCTCTCAGCCTTAAGAAGGCAGTAGCAAACCACTTCTGAAAATCAAGACTGCAGGGACATTAATCCTTTAGCCACCAGGAACCAGATTGCCTCAATGGACCATAACAACTCTGCATCCAGTGTCGTTTTAATGCTATAATGGAATGTTTAACGATACAGTTTCTAGCATTTTACCTGACATTTACCTATATCTTATTGCTGTTGTAAAAGTTGCTGTGTTGAAAGGAAGAGTAGGGAATAGTAATATTAAACTACTGTATGGCTGCCTAAAATTGTGAGGATAGTTTCTTTTGAAAATCTTGAGCTCCCTCTAATGCAGCGGTTCTCAACCTGTGGGTCGCGACCCTTTTGGGGGTCGCACGAGCCTTTCACAGGGGTCGCCTAAGACCATCGGAAAACACATATTTCCGATGGTCTTAGGCAGGGCTTGTCAACCGCCTTCTCTCCCCCCCTCCGCTCCACCTCACTTGTTTGTGGAAAATATGCTGGTTGGCGGCAGTCTGCACGAACTCTACCAAATGTGCCCTGCAGGGGGCGCATGAAGAGCGCAGGCGCAGAGCAAGGCCCCGCCCTCCCCAGGGACTCATTGTGCAGCAACCGGATTGACGACTTCTCGTGCACGCAGGTCAGCGAAGGGGAGGCCGCCGCAGCACCCAACTCCTGCGCCCGTCAGCTGGCGACCCCCGAACTTGTGCTTGTCAGCCGGGAGGTCTGGCGACGGCCACCGGTCTCCTTTGCCACCCCGCCCGTCCTCCCCCGCCCGTTCATGTCGAGCCCGCCGGGGCTCGACAGGGAGAGAAGGAGGAAGGGACTCCTTCTCCTCTCCTAAGCTTCAAAGCACGATCAGCTTCCCAAGGACGCCACAATCCTCACGAAAGCGGGGGGGGGGGAGAAGCAAAGGGGGCGAGAAAGCTCGCGGCGGGCTCGAAAGAGCACCTGTCAGCGTTGGTGACGAGAAATTCCCCACAAACCCAGGGAAGGGGTGGAGAAAAGGAGCCCCCTTTGGGAGGAAACCGCCACCGTCTTCTCCTTGGCTTTGCGCTCTTCTGTTCCTCAGCAGCCGGGCTGCCAAGCCTCTGCTGGCTGGAACTTCCTTTCCTTCCCTCCCCTCTTGGTCTCTTCCTCCTTCCCTCCCTCTCCCATTGTCCCTTCCTTCCTTCCTTTCCTTCGCCTCCCTCTTTGTCCCTCCTTACCTCCCTCTCTCCCCTTGTCCCTTCCTTCCTTCCTTCCTTTCCTTCACCTCCCTCTTTGTCCCTCCTTCCCTCCCTCTTTCCCCTTGGCCCTTCTGTCCTTCCTTCCTTCCCTCTTGTCCAGGATCGGGGCGAGCCTCTACAGCTGATCCGCGCTTCCGCTGAGCAGCCCAGAAGCAGATCAGCTGTAGCAGCTCTCCTGCGCTCCTGCCCAGCAAACTTGCTCGAGCTTTGCTGGAAAATATGCCGCTTGCTAATTTAGCAGAAGCGCGAATCAGCTATAGCCCGGCGAAGCTGAGCAAGTGAGCTGGGCGGAGCTCTCCTCTGCCTCTGCCTGTGCACAGGCAGGTTTGGCATGTCGCCACGGCCACCGGCAGCAAAGCCACCAGCCACGCTGGCAGCCTGTCCCCCTCCCCTTGTCCCTTCCTGGGCACGGAGGGGGAGAGGAAGGAAGGGACGAAGAGGGAGGGAAGTAAGGGACAATGAGAGAGGGAAGGGAGGGAAGGAAGGAAGGGACAAAGAGGGAAGGAAGGAAGGAAGGAAGGAAGGAAGGAAGGAAGGAAGGAAGGAAGGAAGGAAGGAAAGAAGGAAGGGACAAGGGGAGAGAAGGGAGGGAAGGAAGGCAGGCACCCACCCCAGTCCCATCCCAGAGACCCACAGATTCACCCCCACAGGCACTCTGCAACCTGAGTGATCAGCTGGCCACGCCCCCTGGCCATTGATCACATGACCCTGGGACACTGTGAACGTCATAAGTATGAATCAGTTGTCAAGCATCCGAATGTAAATCACATGACCCTGGGGATGCTGCAACAATCATAAGTGTGAAAAATGATCATAATTCGCTTTTTCAGTGCTGTTGTAACTTCAAACAGTCACTAAGCGAATTGTTGTAAGTCGAGGACTACCTATACTTTCCCATTTTTTCCTCTTTTTTTTTGGTCAAGTTTTTGATACCCCC